GAAGAGCGGCCGCCGCGCCCGACGTACCTCCTGACGTGCAGCCCTACAAACGCGCAAATGCAGCGCGAACTCTTTGCGCTGGTGCGCGATTTCGGCCAATGTTACTTGATAACGATTGACACATACTGTACTTTCCAAAAATTTTTTCCTCCCACATCTTGCTAGGATCCTCGGATGCTGAAACTTTATGCCGTAGTGTCCTTCTCACATTCGACAGAAAACTCCCAGCCATGTACACTCCCGACTGTTCCCATCTGGTCCCTGCTCCTCACATTAAGTGTCCCTCTACTGCGGAACTTCCACTTCCTCTGAATGTGCTATTTTTATTTCTTCGCAAAACTGAGTCAAAGAAAATTTAACTCAACATTCTTGAATATATCTAGCCACCTTCCGAACTTCCAAATCCACAATTTCAAGAATCCAAACAATCCCTCTTTCTCTCCACAAAATTCTTAGAAGCGTGCAACCACTTCAGCTCCAAAACATTTGACTGCCAAAAGTCTCCTTTGGTTCTACAAACTGACCAACACTCCTGCAGTTTTTTTCCAAAGCGCTCCAAAATCACTAATTTTCGGCTTAGTTTAGCAGGCTCCGGATGTAAATTCTATGAAGATACTTACTAACAAAAGGCGTTTTAATTGGCAGCTGAAGCAATTTTCTTTGCTCATAAGATTTTGGGACTATGATATACCTTGAACGTGCTAAATTTTGCAACTTTACGCTTCTTATAGTATAGCTACAATTGATGGTTAGTGAAGCCAACATTCCATCTTGTCTCTTCATAGCTGGGTTAGAGGTAGATTCAGTTAACATAGAGCTTTTCCAAGAAACTTTGGTCACGATCGCGGTGATGTGCTTTGAATACTCTTGAACTTTTCGGATTTGGAGGAAAATCCGAAAATATAGAGGTAAAGTTCTTTTGTTAGTATGTACGCTTTCCTAGCTAGGAAAAGTCTTTGCATCCAAGTCTAATGAAGTTTCAAAGCTATTTACGTCTCCACGCTGTTATTCTTTTAGAGGTATTGTTTCTTATACAGTTTAGCTATTTGAAAAGTTTAAACAGCGCTGGATGTCGATCGCAAAAGAAACGTGCTCGCGCTTTAGTATAGAGTATGATGGTGAATTTTTCAAGACAGAACAGATTTGTTGTGGTTTCTTTAGAAAATACACTTGCTTAGCATTTCACAGACAAATTTTGGAAAACTGCAACTTTCTTGCTGAAACTATCAAGGAATCGTGCTCAGAAATTGGAAAAAAATCAGCGGGAATTTGGAGCGGTTTGTTCAAGATGGAAAACCTTTGCCTTGAGGTATATAATAATCTTTCAGGTACATTTTCACATGACAGCAGTTAGACTTCCAGAATATTTTTCGTATGACATTTTAGTGCAAACTATTGCCTTTTCATAAAACGTTCCATTTCTTCCAAATTGGTTGCAGAATTGCTGAATGAAATAAATTGCGCGCTTTTTGTTTTTTTCACCTGTACCTAAACCTATGTCGAAACTATCTGTAAATGCTGTTGGTTTTGCAAAAAGAGCTTTCCGAGTTGTCTATTTTGTTACAGAATCGCACAAAGCATAGGCCTTTTTCAAATGACCTTCAAAGCTCGATTGTATATTGCATCCCAATCGCGCTTGCTATTGTCCCGTGTGTGCTAATGTTTGATTTTTTCAAAAAGGTTTGATTTTCATAGTGAGTTTAAGGATTTTTTCATGCGAAGATGTGTTCAGCATGCCATTCGCTTCTTTTGCTTCAATCTTGTGGAAGGGTTTTTTCAGAATAAAATTTGAAAATTTTCGATGAGATACGTTTGGAATAAAAACAAAAATGGAATGGTGCACAATAGGAAAATGGACAATGAGTAATATCATTTTGCTTGATTTTTGAGGAAAGGTTCAAATTTGAGAGTAAATTTTGGTTTTGCACGTAAAGATGCGTTTAGTGATAAAAACAATGATGATGTGGTGCACCAATAAAGAAGAAATTGAGAAGATGTAATGCAGATATTTATGTTAAGTGTTACGACCTGAAGATGCTATCCGACGTTTGCTTATTTTCGCAAATGAAGCAAAATGTAAAGCGGTTGAAGAAAATCGACCGCTAACAGCGTTGAAGGCGACGGAATTGGGGTTGCACTTAGCTTGACGTCGTGATAAACATCACCGAAGCAGACGGGAACACCGAAGATGGCAGAAAACATCATACCATTGATGACGTCATAGGTTGCACTTAGGTTGAGTCGTAACGGTAAACAGTATGGAAGCGGGCGAAAGTGCAAGAATTAACTCAGAGAACTGGGCAAACATTCTTCGCCGGTTGTTGACGTCGGATGGTCCCCCCTGCGCTTTATTATAGGGTACTCAGAGAACTGGGCAAACATTCTTCGCCGGTTGTTGACGTCGGATGGTCCCCCCTGCGCTTTATTATAGGGTATGATCGCGCCCCAGCGTCAACTTTTCCGTGTCCTCTCCCTTCGAATTTCAATCTTCAGTCCAGCTTTTTTCCAATATTCTGATGATTTCTTTCAATCTTCCTTCTCCTTCTTCTTCTTTTTTCTGCTCGTTGATCTGTTCTGTGACCATGTGGACTTTATGAAGCAAATTTCTGTGGATTTTTGTGATTTTTGAGAGTATGACCCGAAATCGCGAAATTTCAGCTTGCAGCAGTAAATGTTTCAAGGACCAAGTGAGTATGCGGGGGATCCACCAACAATCGGAGGGTGGGGGGGGGGGGGGGGCGCAGAGCAAGGGTCAAAGGGGACTTCGTTAATTTTTACGAAAGTCAGTGGGACTTCCTTTTCAGAAAGCCTAGAAACGGACTCGTGCAGGGCACTGGTCCAATCGCCATGATGAAGGTTCTTCCGCGGAAATATCAAGCTGCCATTTGTCGGATCACTTTTCTACCGCATCCAAAGCGCGCTGCACCAGATTAGGGTCATCATAGCAGTATAGTTCTGGGTACTTTTCCGTTATCCGAACCCATTTTCCAAAGAAGGATATTGCTTCTTTCCTCGTACCATATATTTGGTCCCGGCTTCACAGGAAGGAATGTCAATCTTCCTGCCACGTGTCAAAGAATTTGACCTGGCTTTACATGTCTAACAGTTTAACCAAGAGTTTCGCCCTACCTATCGACGTAAGTTCAATCTGTTTTTTTAGTCAGTAGTGGCCCCATTTTCGATTGAACAGTATCAAAAATGAGCACTGCTATCAAAGTAACGTCATTCTGTTATTGATTAAACAGATTGAACCTCCCAATATAGAGAAGTGGGCTAAGATCCCATCGTGACAAAACAAGCAGTAGCGAGGAACTTCAAGCCATCATTCTCGTCTGGCTAAATTCGCAAGGCGAGAAGTTTGAAGAGAAAGGCAATGCTGAATCGTTGCTGAAAACGATTAAGTTGCTCTAATATGAATTTCGAATGCTTTTGTTCTTATAGAAAACAACTAAACAGCTTCTAGATAATCACAAATGCTCTTTCACCTTACCGGGAATTTCGAAAAAAAACAAGTCAAAATGGACTGAAATGTGTCAATTTCTTCCTGACACGTGAAGGAGAGGAAGTCTTTGTAGAATCTATAAAAAAAATTATTCTTAGACCAAAGAACGTATTTATGAGAGCCTCTTGAAAAAATGGGTCCGGATAACGAAACGGTTCAAATTCGAACAAAATTTCGTAAAAATCTTCTTAATCTCCAAACGGTTTTCTACTACAGATTTTTAATGTCACAATTTAAAGACTTCGGTTTCCTTACATTCAATGATTCCTGAACAAAATCTTGAAATTTGAGTGTAAGGTACTTCGTCGTAGCTAATGTGCTTTCTGGCGATGATTAATGTTTAAATTAAAAGTGAATGCCGCTATCATTTCTCCTGTAAATGCGCCCGAAAACGCAAAGAAACTGCTTACTTATTTCTCTAGCGTTTTCTCCTGCGAATTTACGAGAAATCTTTCCCATTTCTGGATTCCAACCATGTTTTCTTGGATCCTGGTCAAATCTCCGCGCAGTGCTCGCGCCTCTAATTACCTCCTACGGATACTGGCGGCTAAGCCCTTGGTTCCTCCTGAGCGTCCTCCGTTTCTTCGTGCTGAGCACCCCCTCTTCCGAAAGTTTTTGATTGTACTGCTTCTTTCATTTCATGTCTCTCACTGTCCTTTCGAAAACCCTTATTTATTCTCTGGGCTATGGCCAGCTAGCCTTTGCACCCGGGCTTGCTGGCCCCCAAACAGGGGATATCGTTTTCGAAAGACGTGTAAGATTTTGATCGACCGTTGAAATAATTGATCTCCCTCGTCTTGACTCACTTGGATGTCGCCATAGTCAATCGTCATCAATGTGTTAAATGATCTTCGAAAGCGTAAGTGGTGGTCTTGCGAAAGAATACCTACTCTACCGCTTAAATAATACGTTGGTAAGAAAGTTTTTGGACATTATCATGCTAAAATTGCTACTTCTCAGGCTGTAATGCATTTATAAATGCGAAAATTTTCAGTTGTACTCTTGTACGTGGCTTATAACAGTGCAGGTGGGAAGTGCTTGGGATCAATAGGGGAGGAGTTCACTTTCCAATTCTCTCGTTCTCCTGCTAATTTAGCTCGTATTGAGTACAGACTTTGCATATATGTATGTGAGTTCATGTCTACTATATATTGGAGTATTTGTGAGTGTCACGGAGTTAACGGAAGGCAGAGCTCCGAAAATTCTGCCTCTATTTTCACAAGATCTATTGGTTAACTCTTGATTATTATAGTCTTATAGTGTTTGCTTTCCTCTGTTCAAAGATCTGCATGCAATATTTGGTGCCCCTATCGAAGCAAAATCTTTGTCCGAAGGCAACGTCCGAAAATCTTCTTACCAACTTAATATATTCCACGGCCGTTGGTGGATAGGTTTGACCTGGCTACTACAGATTTGCCTCTTTTTATCAAATAACGCATAACACAAATTAGTAGGCCTTCAAGATTAAATCGACAATCTTGCTTAAATCTTCATTGAGCTACAAAAAGAAATTTTTATTACCCGTAAAACTGGACTTCCAGCTGAAACCGAGATCAAGTTGTCAAGTTACAAAGCTTAACAAAGCATACAAATTTGAGCAGTAAAAATAACCAGTGCCATCGGAAGAGAATACCAGCATGTCCCCCAGTGTCAATTCTAAGCTTTGACTCGATGTGCCTGCTGCTGCACGGGCGTTTTCGGAGGCATCTGACGATATTGTGGATGACTTGGAGGTGGCGGTTGTGCCACTGAAGGACGTACTAGGGATGCGGTGTTGACTCGATAGAGCGGGTGAGGCTGCAGCTCTTGACGGATTAGCGCAATCAGTACCAGGTCAGTGTTATAGACAGCTGAAAAAGACAAGCGATGTATGTACCACATAGGGATAAAGTTCGCAAGATTTTCCAGAACAAATAGCTCACGAAAATTGCACTCGAGTAGGTACTGAACCATTCGCAAATCGCATTCACAGCTGATCACTATATAGGGAGCGTCAGTCTCTATACACCTCGCTAAAATAAGACCCTTACATATTTACAACTCGTACAACCTGTAATATTACCTATCTCAGCTGGAGCAGGTCGATCATCATGTACGATACCACCAGCAAGTCGTATCAATTTGCTGAGGACTGCTCGGCTGGGTTCAACAGAAGGAGTGATGTAGAATTGAACATCCTAACACGATCAAAATTATACCGGCTCAGTTGAAAGTCTCTTCGCTCACTTCAAACAACTTCCTATGCCTCGCCCTAAGTACACTGCGTTTGCAGTTATATCCGAGATTCCTTTCTTGATCCTCGTCGTGCAAAAAATAGTCCAGAGTATCTAAGAAGGCCTTCCTCTTCAAACATCCCACAAAGTCCTATCAGGCTGCCTACCCATCCACTGCCGACACTCATATCCGTGTACTATCCAGTATGGATTCACGATATTCCTTCCAAGACAAATTGCCTCCAGAAGTCTTTCAGTTCTTCGTCCATTGGTTGTGACAAGATGCGTGCATTCAGAAATTTCCTCGCATGCACGACCTCCAAGGTAGCGCAGTTTCTAGAAAGAAGGCATGCGCTACGGACTTATAATCGAGCACTGTGGATGGATTAATGACTGGGAACGAACAGAAAGAGGAACGCGTGAACAACTGCAACACACAAACCTGAGTGAGAACATGCTTGTTCTCTTCATCTATTCCGCAAAAGGCTACCACATACTCGGGGTGCTTACCACCTGCTTTCTTACGCTCTTCGGCCTTAGCGGCTATCTCCTCTTCACTGGGAGGCGCTGACTGGGCACTAAATGATTGAAATCGTCATGGATTAAACCAGAGAGCAAATAAACGGTAGCACCTCTTTAACTCACCGAAGTTTCTTGTTGGGGAAAACCCCCTCGTCATTTTCAACCGCTTGTTTCGTGTCAAAGGAACGCCGCCACTGTTCCGGTGACACAATTATGGGCATTTTCCAGGCAACTAAACGCAATTTCAAATACTTAGTCAGATATGACTCCTCAAGGCACTTACGAAGTAGCTGCTTGAATTGGTCGTTGACCATCTCTAGTGCATAAGGACCGGGCGAAACACCTTCACATGGCTGACCTACCTGAAAAAACATAAGCTACCTTTGAACAGCAGGTTTCTAGAAAGGGGAGGATACCACTGACCGTGCCTCTCAAAAAGAGATATGTACTGTCATATACGTTCCTCGATACGTCAAATCATAACAGGTTTAGTACTTGCGCCAATGGCGCTGGGTAGCTCAGTGGATAGTGTGCTAGACTACGTATATGGTGTACTTTTGAGGTCAACTCCTTTTAAATGTAAAACTTGAGCTGATCTATACATAATCTCTTTTGAGTACAAAACCGTTTCAGGCTTCAAACATTACAGGTTTCAGAAGCCCGATGTTTCGTCCGATCTGTTAGGACAGTGTGGACAAGAAGGGTGTAGTAACATAGTTGGGATATTCGTTGTCAGCTTGGCTCATTGCGAGATCTTTCCTACTTCGATTACTTTGGGATCAAACAATATCTTTGCGCATAACATGAATTTTCTCTTTTGGAAGCAGTTTTTATGAAAAAAAGTGGGATTTTGTCAAAAAGCTTTCTGCAGTTTTAGATAAAAGAAAAATGACTGAGACGTGGAATGCTTCATGTTTAAAACGAACTATACAACAAAAGTTTTACACTAAGAGGGTTCGAACCCGAAGCAGACCGATCTGACGATCCCTATCAAGCTCTGTTTCGATCACTGTGAATCCGCACTGGATTGTAAATGTGACATAGAGACTGAGAGATAGAGGGTACACTATCCACTAGCCCATTTGTCATTGCTAGCAGCGCTACGAGGCCTGCACTTAACATGAGCCGCGCGATCTCGAAAGGAAAAACGACTGCAGCTCCTTAATACGGATTGAGCTCAGCGTACAGAAAAAGTATACCGGTATACATCCGTCCTAAGAGAACGTGGTCAGTTGGTTTTCTTCCCTTGCAAGTCCAGCCTGAAAGTCACAAGCACCTGATATCTGGGATTATCAATCTCCACCCTCTGTCCAGCGTAGCTATCAGCTAGCCATTGATAGTTGACGACAGGAATATCCCATTCTTGAGCTTTTGTGACCTTCTCTATACCAGCGCTAAAACAACATTCTCAGCATGTTTTCAGCAAGTTGGTAAATTGAAGCAAAATTAACAGGAGCACGCAAGGAGAGCATTTGCAAATTCCATGCCATCTGAAAGACAGACACAGCATGTGACGAACACATATCAATCTCTTCCATCTCTGGGGATAAATGACCGCTTACATGGAACTTCAGTGTTTGATAGAAAAAAAAATGGACGGCAAGATTCGTTTTAGAGACAGGCGCAACGTAACGATATTACGCTCACGCAAAAGCTACCTTTTCGCAATAAGCAAGTCATTGGAACGGCTGAGATAAGGCGTGAATTTCGCTCCCATTGCCTCCACCATGTACTTCATCGCCGCTCTTTCACCTTCGTCGAAGCCAGAGAATGACACCAGCTGTAACAAAAATGATCACACAAAGCGCATTTATGATGAGCTTTCAGTGTTTGATAGATCAATGCAAGAATATCAAGGTACGTGATGGCTACTGTTAGCTGTTTGATTTCCTTTTCTCGCAAAAAAGAGGTTCTCGGTGGGCGAAGCGAGCGGATCACGGCAGCTCTTTTGATTGTTGGATTTTATCAACTGGTTAACACGTTTCGGACCGGTGCTGCATATGGTGCAGCACGCTGTCATGAAGAATCTTTTTGACGTTTACAGGAGGCTTTCTTTTAGTCCAAGGTTATCAAGTCAAAGGCCTAAGTTCCTACTTTTTAAATGACTGCGTAGGGTCGTGCCGTCAATATTCGTTTAGGAGATATTAGCACAAATCGAACATCAGTTGCAACGAAGTGCGGCAACGCGAACGACGCGTGCGACGTCGCAACTTTTCTTTGCTTCGTTATCAAAGAGAATAACCGTAGTTTCAATACTGATGTGTACCGTTTACAACATAGACACTTTTGGATACTACTACAAACTGAGTTCTTGTTCCTATTTTTCAGGAAAGCACAGAAGTCCTTCTCAAGCGACAAATTTTGAACACTTCAAATTCACTCAGAACTTTGTGTATGGGACTTATCTGACATGCTGATTACAGATGTAGCACATAGCCTTCGAAATAAGCTCCCTTTGTTGGCTAATGGCTAAAAGTGCACTCTTTTTCGCCGCGCGCGATTTCGCGGTCCGAAACGTGTTAAGTATAGTCTGTGTCAATCACGTACTTCCCTTCGCATTGTCGTAGTCGCCACCACAGGTGTGCGCCAAGTTCGCCGCGTATTCTTGGGCATCCAAACTGACCTCGTTAACTGAGGTTCCGCACGCAAGGCGTGTGCGTTGCGGATGTGTAATTCATGCGCGAAAGAGAGTAAAGATTGAGACACAATGTATTAGGTTGTCCGGAAAATAATGTCGCATCGTGTTTTAACATGCAATATCGTGGAAGGGTGCCCACGAAAGTAAGTAAGTGGGGTATCAACCGATAGATCAGAGCAAGCTCTACAAAATGAAGCTCGAACCTTTGCGCCATTTGATTTGCGTAGAGTTAGGAGCCAAATTTCATAAGGCACTTAGGGTCTAAAAAAGCGAAAAAAAGCGTACCTCCGTTCAGAAAAGTTCTGGGAGCCCTTAACTTGCTCACGCATGGACTCACTATACAAGACACTCGTATGCACATTTTCGCGGTTTTTACATAGCTGAAAATTGAGAAAACGAAATTTGGCTATTTTTGCCAAAGCAATTCTGAGCTTTTCTCACATGGGTGATTCTGTAGTATGAAACTTTAGGAGTATAACCATGAATTTTCAGCTTTAGACAAGCGTTAGTTTTCGGGAAAAATCAAATTGTTTGAAAAAATCGAAAAACGCGACATATTCGCACTTTTGACCCGTTTTTATTTCTCGTACTGTAGCCATGGAAAAATACCACAAACTATGCAGGTGAATGTCTAGTGTAAAGAAACATGCCTGTGCAAACTGGAGATCCATAAGACGTCTATGAACGGAGATACGATTTTTCGGATAAAAAATTTTATATTTGGGATTCCAACTTCAGGTGGAGCACGATTTCCGCGAAAGTTTGTAGACTGTCTTGTAGAGCTTGCTTTGCTCTAAACTGTCCTCATTAACTGAGGTTCCGCATGCAAGGCCTGTGCGTTGCGGATGCATAGTTCCTGCGCAACAGAGAGTATAGATTGACACAGAATGTACAAGTCACTTGATTACCATATTCCAGAGAAGCCTGCACATTGCAAAACAAGTTTACTACTCTGCGATGGGAGAATAAAGGCACTTTCAGCTTCCCTAAGATAATAAGCTAAATTTGTGGGCTACACGATGAATTTGAAATTGTAAACAAGGTGGAAAACTCTGTGCCCCACAAGTGCTAGAAATGGGACATCAGCGATAGCTATTGATCACAAATCTAAGAATAGTCCTACCTTTCCAAGTAAAGGCCGACAGCCATCGACAAAGACGGAGGGCAGGTGGGCGTGTCTCCACGGAACATCCATTTGCTTTTTTATCAACACATCGACCAACCACTGCATTGTCACTAAACGCTTGCGATCTTTCAAGGCCTAAATTCTGTCTTTTAATAGCATTTCTCCAATACAGAATAGAAGTATAACTAACCAAATGTGCATGCTGCGTCCTTATTGACTCTACTATGACATGCGTTATGACCCCAACTCTTTCACTATATGCCTTCGCACCAAATTCGATGTCTCCGCCATGCATTCTTACGGCAAGGACCATATTTGGTAGGTCCATCTTGTCCGTGAACATCTTCTCCATATCGAACATGTGCAGAACGCATCCAGCGAGGCATATCTCAGGTCGTACTAAAACGAGATTTCCCGAATTCCAAGATGACCAGGCGATGAACTCACCGCTCATAAGAACATTCGGTTCGTAGGTAAAGAACTGGCTAGGCATTACAGGTTGCTGTGGAGTTGGCACTACTCGTATAGGCTGTGCGACCATTTCACCTACAATTCGGACACTATACAATCACCTTTGAATTCCATATGGGATTACCATTGCTCATAGGTCTTGGCATGGCTGCTTGCGGTGTCATCGGTACTTGTGTGGGTGACATCAATGATGGAGATCTCATGTCTGGAGCGTACTGCGGTGACGGAGTAGGCTGTGGAAATCTCGAGCCTGTAAGCAACAACTGGAATCTCCAGTCTTATTCCGCCATCACAGTAGAACTGAAGTAAGAACAAACACAAAACGTTGCTGTGGCCGCTTTGACTAGTAAGCACCTTAGCAATTTTTTTTCAGGACTCGTTCATTTTCACCGGCACAAAGAACTTGGCCGGAACTTACTTTGAGTCTAATAAGATTAGCCAAAGCGCGTTACATTTTCGCAAGCCGCACGGAGTAACCAGTTTTTTTCTGCAAAGCACCCAAACCCCCTCACCCCCACTTCTAGAAGACATTGCGTAGAAGCATATGTTTTGATTCAACTGGATTGGCGGCTGGAAGACAAGGCTAGAGAATGTTCAGAGACGTTTGCTAGAGAGACGCAGACTGCGTCGCAGACGCGAGCGGTCTCCTTAGGCCTAAGGCATACTTCACGCGATTCCAGTCGCTGCGCGATCTGGTACTGCAGCGACTCTTCGTAATTGGTCGTTAGCGCGCTTTGCATGGGCCATACTTAAAGCTTTTGCTATGACTTACGGTAGCTACGCGCCTATGCACTTAGGACCCGCACTCGATTGATCTGATCGAGATCAATCGAGTGCGGGTCATAAGTGAAGGCATAGCAAAGATCGAGCGAGCGATCTTTGCTATGCCTTAGGCCTTAGAGTAGCCAGTCTCGTTCAATTTAAAGGTACATCTAAGGCCTAAGGCATACCTCGCGCGATTCCGGTCGCTGCGCGATTTAACACAACAGCGACTCTTCGTAATTCGTCGTCTGTCTTTGGTCAGAACTTGCTCCATTTGCAACAACTTACACAAGCTACCCCAAATATGCACCCGAGAAGCGCGCACGATAAATTTGTAGAAATCTGGCAAATCGCCAAGTCGCGTGAAAGTGGCAATCCGGCCGAATCGCGTGAGGTATGCCTTAGGCCTAACACCATGAAGGGAGTGCGCAAGACGAAAGTTTGATGTATATTGGATGCAATCTGATGCAGATATATTGGAAATTTCACGCACTCAAATTACGTAACTTTCCGTTATACTATGCCGTGTGGAGTAGATAGAATCAATATTTTTGGCATAGAGATAAAATTTCTAATGCCAAAAAAGTATTCATATTATTTTGGAATCGTGAAAGATGGTCAAGTCAGTGAAAAGTTTGACATGGCGGCTACAAACTAGCTTTTCAGAGGATTACATTGGGAAATGAAGGAGTGCAAGTGACAACGACGAGCGCTCTGTTCATTTCTACGCGCACCATTCAATGTTATGACATGAAATACACAATAAAAGTGCAACAAGCGACTCTGTGAACTTTTCGGTGGGCATATAATGTCACTTTCCCAATTTTATGGCCACTTTTAAAAAACGGAGTATGAAACTTTCCATTAAAAGTCGCTTCTACTCTCAACGGAATTGTATATTGCTTGCATTTAAAGTAGCTCTTTACCGCGCATATCAGGGCACCCTAGGGAGAGACATGAAGCACGCTTTAGACTAAACGATGTTACTTTATTCAAGATAACTCCAGTACCAAATAGGACTGAGAAATTCAAAAAAACATCTTTTATAGTTTTAGCGCTTTTTGATCACATGCAAACACCCATTCAAGCCATAACTAAGACCGCGGTTTGATTCTTGAGATATATGAGGTTTCCTTCTCCATAATATGCTTTTCAAATTATAAGGGCATTCAACTTGCTGGCTACGAACTGCTCAGTCCGCGCACATCCTAAAATTAAGAAAAAGAAAAGATAAAAATCACTGAGCTTCATATTCTGAAGACACCTCAGGCAAAACTCTAACGATGTAAACAGTTTCTCCCATAAAAATCAATACTGCCTGTTTTTCTAGAGATATGCTGCATTCATAAGAAGAAGCAGACGATTCTAAAGCTATGAATACATGAAATTTGAATTCCCTTTATATGCTTTCAAAGCATCGCTCGCTCATTCCTAGCAATGAAAAGAAAACATAGCCAGATAACAATCTCTTTTTCCACATCTCCCCATGTACTCTCCTTACACTTAACAATAATGTAAAAACTTGCCGTTCGGTGTGTATGGTGGCTGAGGTGTTTGAGGAGTATGCGGTTGCGCGCCAGCTGTGTACACTGAAAGAAATACTTCAATGACACTGAAAAGTTAAATTGGATGAAATTTTTTGACTTGAACATGTCAACCTCATCCCAACTATTCGGACAGACATACTGACCTAAAAATCCGTCCAGCAATCACTAAAAGCTACTCAAAAGCAGCTGTGGTATGTGAACGTCTGAGAACGGAACACGGCTGGCGAGTTCTTGGAATTAAGTAAACAGCGGCAGACTCGGACGGCGTGCCAATAAACGGACTAATAAAAGAGCGCAGACTTCCATTCGGTGCACATGATTCGGCTGTTTGAAGTGAAAGTTTCCGCAGCAGTCCTTTTCATATAATCATTTCACCAACCCTGTATCAAAGAAGAGATTGCGGAGAACACACAGTTTCTGATCGTAGACACATCTCATAAAAATTCAGAACTATGGGTCATATTGTTTTCTAGTGCTCATCACAAACCACATCAATCGCATAAATGGAGTACGCCGCAAGTTCTTCGAGGAAAGCAACGATAAATTTGTTGTTTGCATATCTGTTCTCTCCGGAGAGCCCCAATGCGCAGAGCAGGTATCGAGAAAAGAGTTGCACCTTCGAACATCATGGGCATTGTATATCACTACAATTTCCATTACGTCTATCTACAGCGTGTTTGGAATTTGTGTTCCCAAGTAAGAACTAACCACTTTTCATAGAAACTTTGGACATCATCTGAGAGCCATTTTCTTCTAGTTTCTTGGGTGTTTGTCTTCGTTGACGTGAGTTCGTATCGAGATACCGCGCAAAACATTCAGTACCAAAATCCTTTTCCACAAGATCCAGTTTCAAAATTCCCGAATTTTTTTTATCAAATTTCAAAAGCGTGCGAAGTTTTTGAAAATGTGCATAATGATAGGAAGTTGTGCTAAAAATGCACATCAAAAGAAGATTTTCAAGAATTTCCGAACTAAATAGATTTTAACATGAATTTGCACGTCGTTTACTGTCATTTTGTGACGTAGAAAACCGTGATTGCAACGTGGAGGGAGGGAGGGGGAGAGGGAGAGAAGTTTCTGGATGCTTACGTTACATAAGTTCCGAAGTAGTGCAAGCTAACGCTAGCAAAGAAGAAATCATTCCATAGTGGCAGCGATTTATTTACCCACTTAGGCTCCTCCCAAGTTTTGAAGGTTGCCTTCTTGGCAGGTTCACTTTATCCAAGCTCTTAGTCCCCGAATTACTGTCTGGAGAACCTTGGCTAACCATAGCTTTTCGGACTAAGCGGGATTACCAAAAAAACCCATATCGAACGAAAGCAGATCGAAAAATCAACTTTCCAAAGACATCCAAACAAGATTATTCGATTTGCGAATATTGCATTACTCGAACTCGAATGTCCAAAATACGTCTCCAAATTCGAATCTACGAACGATAGCATAATCAGACATAACCGTTTGACAATGGCAGTCGCAGGATTTCCGTCCGGGAGGGGGGAGGGAGCGACGGCAAAAAAGATTTCAATGAAGGGCGTGACGTTAGCCACACACTCCGAAAATTTTTTTAGGGTGCATCTCAAAATTTTCTCTGGTCCATAACCCCTACAATCTAGAAAAAAAGGGCGTGGCGGTAGCCATGTCCCCGGAAAAAAAATTTTCCACAAAGCTAACTTGGATTTTTTTTAAAATTTTAAAAATTATTTGAATTGTTCACAAGAATAAACAAGTCACTTGCACATTTTTACAACTCCTGTAAGTCCTTCCCCCCCCCCCCTCTCTCTCGGTACGCCACTGCGCCACTGATAGGCGTTCATACTGACTCCACACTGTCAACAAGGTGCCGGAATCTGGAGAAGAGGCCAAATGGCACGATTTCTCCGTCTGTCACCAGTTGCCAGTTTAATGCCGCTATAGAAGTTGCTTGAAGTTATCAGTTGCTAAGTTTCAAAGATCACTGAGGTTGAAGGATAAAGCTTCGGCGTCTTCAATACCTTCTGGACATCCGCCGAACGCACTACTGAATGCGTGCGAGCCTTTAACAGTGACTTGCGCGGGCCAGCCGGATACCAAGTCAGTAATTTGTCCTCCCGCATTACTCTGGTTCCGATTTACCAGCCGCGGGAGGTAGAGGGCTTGGTTGGCCCAGGAGCGGGATCAAACCAGAGTCCGATTCGGCCATAGCGGCACCTCATAACATAACGCTCGTCCCCATTATTGGTTTTATTGTAATGAGAATCTTCTTACAGAAATGTCCAACAAGGGAACGATACTTGGTGTCCGCGGCCTTTTGAAATGAAACTTATACCTTCACATTCGTCTTGGAACGCTGAATCCGAATCCGACTTCCTTTTCTGCTAAACGTTTCTCGAGAAGAAGTTATGAAGGATTTTCGCGTCAATGGTCGCTTAAAAGAAATACAGTCGAGGATGCCTGATTTTCAAGAAAAACTTTATTTAGGCAATGCAAAACTGAAGAACACAAAAGGACTCGAACCTAAACCTGCATTAACTTGCGAGGCTACCCACAGTAGCCATTAAACCACTTCTTAGCGGCGGTTTTGACATTCCGACCATATTTCCTTTGCTGCGTTATTCCTTCATACCTTTTTTCAAATAAACGTTTAGCGAAAAAGGAAGCCAGATTTGGAATCAGCGCTTCAAGGCGAGTGTAACAGTGTAGTCTTCATCTTAAAAGGCCGCTGACACAGAGTATCGTTCCCTTGTAAGCTTATCCTTGAAGGTTTCCATCTATTACATACCCTACTCAAGCTCACCTCAATACTACGAATGTACATCATACATGACTAAAGATAGTCATATTTTAATAAGTTTTACAACACTTCAACACATCAGACATAAAATAGCAGTTGTACGTCCGGCTATACAAGCAGCTGAGAATAGTGTCTCTTATCATAAAAGCTGTATCAACGCGGTCGGGCATTTTCTCATGCCTCAGCAGCGATTAAAGGTTGAAAGGCAAGCGGGGATAAACAGAATAAGGAATAAACGCTTTCAAAAGACGCTGCCTTCAAAGACTACCTCTTTTCGCATGTGTCATCCTTATGCGTAAAAGACCAGTAGTCCGAAGGCAGTACTAGCTATCCTGTCTTTGTTGACCACTCACTGAACGATCGCAAACACAATGGGATTGTGAATTTACTAAATGTGATCGGGCCTTCTTCCAGCTGTGGAGGTGAAATGGGATACTAGCACTTGGACACATACAGGGTGTCCCAAAAAGATGTGCACACTGTTTGATCGTTAATAACTCTCTTGCTTTCATGTCTTTTGTAGAGCTTAAAGTACCACATTCTATAGAGCGAGGTTCAACTTAGATTTGCAGATTTGAGCGAATCATCGATCGCTCTTCATTACTGTAGGATTACGTAGGAACTTTGAAGAGGGTTTTAAGCCATTAAAGGGCGCAATTTGCCTCAGAAAGAAAGCCAAACAAGCCAGAAACTCTCAAACTCGGCTAATTGAAGGTGCTGATTCTAAATATGAAGTTTGCACCTTAGTATAGTGCTTCTTTCATAAGTTATTTCAGATTTAGAGTAAAAACTGTTTTCCCAATGTCCCTCAAAAAGTGAATACGCGAACAAGTTTGAAAAATTGATGAAAAGTTATGTACTGAAATCAGCACGCCTGAAAACCTTAATACACAGATTTTCAGATTTTTTTGAAATTATTTTATCACAAGGCCTATTCCACAGTGACGCTGTATGTTGAAAGTTCATACCGTAATCCTACAGTAATGGAAAGTGATTGGTGATTTGCTCCACACTGCAAATCTAAGTTGAACCTCGCTCTACAGAATGGTACCTTGAACTCGGCAAAAAACCTGAAAGCAAGAGAGTTATTAACGATCAAACAGTGTGCACATCTTTTTGGGACACTCTGTATAATAGCGGAGAGGGGGTAGAAAAGGACAGAAGTTTCCCGTCTCGACAGCAATATTCCCAATCTGCCCAATAATCAAACCTGAATTAGATATTTTGGTGCTTTTTTTTAACTTCATATAACCCATTGCTTGACCTACATAGCATACCTTCTGAAGTCTCAATTACAGCATCTCATTTACAACCCACCACATCTCTGAGTTTTCTCTAGTTTCACATTTGTATTTGTGAGGAGCTAGTAAGTATAACTTCTGCAAAAATCTGCAAAAACGAGACTTCTTCATGACCCCGACTGGGATAATCTCTAGCATATGTCCCGTGCTAACAACGCACTTGTGCCACAACTTCCACAAAGTTCACATCGAAGAAATCTCATTACCATAGTGATGTACTTGTGTAAAATATGAATGCTTTGTGATGCAGGCTACAGCTTGTGAGGAGACTGCACTTGGCAAACAGAGAAAGCTCCATGTAGTTGAGTGGTAATCACTTAATACATTGGAAATGCTGCACTAATTGAAACTGATGAATGTTTGCAAAGATACTCTCAGTCCGTAAAAATGAGGAGGAATGCAAAGGAAGAGAAGATTAGCACAGCCTAAAGTAGTTGAAGAAAAAGCAGCTGCTAGCTAATATATCTTGCTATTAACTTCTTTTTTTGCGAGAAAAAGCACAAAATGAGAAAAGAAGTGTGACTGGACACTAAAGCATCTGAGAATGCCATTAAAGAAGCGGAAGGAAGGCGAGCTCGCTATGATGCATAATTAAGAGCGTAGCAGCAGCGGAATCGCCTGAAAACACGTGATTGGCAGAAATGGACCCTGTTAATATTGGAAAAGATGAAGAACGAAGCGAGGAAGCCGTCGCATTTTTGTCTATTCGCAGACTGCATTGCAGGAAAAGTGACGAGAAGAATAAAAAGAAAGATAATCTGACTTCCTTCTTTCCATATGATGTACAATATATAATGCGCTCCCATAATGCTCTCAATTCACATTTACTTCTATCACCCAATCTTGAAGCGAATAAGTTGCAACTGAGTATACCGTTTTGCTCTCGAGAAATTACCTAGAGTTGTACTAATTTCCTTCATCTTACTCTTTACTCAAACGGTATTCTCAAGGAAATATGTCAACCATTTATT